AATATGGGCAATCAGACTTCATCTCCTAGATCTTTGATGCTTGTTCCACGAACACAAACATGCGCTTTAGTGATGTGAAGACGCCAGCTCAGCCACCACACGACTGATGGATAAGATTCAACAACAGCTTCGATGCTAACGTCCTGCTTATCAAGATCTCTGCGTGATATTGTGACAACTGATTTGCGCCCTTGATGCGCCCTTTGACATCTGTGGATGCCGAGTACCCTTCGCTCCTTCCCGCATCCGGTAAAATGCAGGCGCTGACGTATGACGCGAAACTCGACTAGGCCCCAGGCCTCCAGGCAGCACTAAACATTCCGGTCCGTCATGGCTTCGGAAAAGCAATCATAACCAGAGCCTCTTCTCTTCTTTTTTCCTTCTACAAAACTTCTGGCCTTCCTAATGTCTTAGAGTCCAGGTGTACCAACTCCGCCACGCTCATAATACCCACCCTATCCCGAACCTCGGAGCATGTCTGTTCGTGATGCGCCTGTCAAAGCGGCACAATGGCTCGGCCGCGAACTGGGACTCGCGACAATGAAGCATGCTGGAAAAGACGTCTACATCCTCATTCTGGCACGGTACATCCGTCTGTTCGCATACGGGAGCGTGGCACTTATCCTCGCACTCTTCTTCCAAGAGCAAGGATTCTCAGATGAACAGATCGGACTCTTCATGTCGTTGACGTTGCTCGGCGATGTAGTCATCAGCCTCCTCCTCACACTTGTCGCGGATACGCTAGGACGGCGCCGAACATTACTCCTTGGAGCTGTGTCCATGGCAATATCCGGCGCTGTTTTCGCAACAACAAGCAACTATGTGGCACTGCTTCTAGCAGCCATCGTCGGTGTCATCAGTCCTAGTGGGAACGAGATCGGGCCGTTCAGAGCTGTGGAGGAGTCGACGTTAGCGCACCTGGTAGCCGAGGACAAGAGGTCGGACGTGTACACTTGGTATGTCGTCTTGGCTGTACTGGGCACGTCAACGGGGTTGGCAGTTGGTGGTGTTGCGGTCGACAACCTGCAGGCTATCGAGGGTTGGACGGATCTGGATGCGTATCGCGCCATCTTCTGGATTTACACTGGGGTCGGGTGTGTCAAGGCGCTGATGACTCTGTTCCTGAGCCAGAGATGCGAGCACAGCGACTGGAACGATGAACGAAACAAGTCTGCTGTATCAGGTGAGACCGAGCCGTTGCTGAACAATGACGAAACAGAGAGTCGAGATACTGCAACTCGAGACACAGCCCCCAAAAAGCCTAAGAAGTTTTGGCATTCCCTAAGCAAGATCTCCAAGTCGAGTCGCATTGTTCTTATTAAACTCTGCAGCTTGTTCTTCCTCGATTCTTTGGGCTCGGGGATGGTCCCCTTTAGCTTGATCAACTACTACATGGAACGTAAATTTGATCTACCAAAAGGGAAGCTAGGTGGCATCATGTCTGCAACATGGTAAGTCACAACCTGATCGAAGTATGCCTTAAACCACACGCTTACGAACATACAGGTTTGTGTCGACACTTGGAAATGTCTTCGCCTCGAGTCTAGCCAAACGTCTCGGCTTAATCCAAGCAATGGTCTTCACTCATCTGCCTTCTTCTATATTCCTCGCGCTACTGCCTGTACCGTCGGGACTAGCTTTAACCATCTGCCTGCTCGTTGGTCGCTCTGTGCTCAACTCTATGGATCAGGCCCCTCGATCAGCCTTTCTCTCGATTGTGGTCTTACCAGAAGAGCGAACCGCCGTTATGGGCGTAGTCAATATACTCAAGACACTATCCCAGAGCAGTGGACCAAGTCTTACTGGTGTGCTTGCTGGGAACGATCATTTCTGGGTCGCTTTTGTTGCAGCTGGTAGCTTGAAATCGGCGTATGATTTATTGCTTCTCGCATTCTTTGGCGGACGGGTACAGCCGAGGAGTGAAGAACCGGAAGCAATTACTGGTGTAGAGGAGGATGACACTATTGAGGAGCCCGCGAATGGACACAGGACTACTTGATGTAGCTTGCACGGGCTTAAAGACACAAACAAGGAACATAGTTAGATCAATACCATCTTGATGCAGATGCAATACATTCCACAGCTTCTAGAATGTTCAACATGCCGTTTGACACTACACCGCCAGGTACGGGTGAAAGCCGAAGGCGCTACCTCGGCAAACTCCTTCTTGGGCTTACTTGTACGATTCCTTGCGTACACTGGCAACAACCTCCGACATCACAGCTATCAGCAATTCACTACGGCGCGGTCGCTATTGCCGATTTTCGGCGTGGCTGACCTAGCCATGCACATGGTATGCGCGAGTACTCCAGCTCAACGGTCAGCTTGTCGGCCACCGCTCCGATCGTGAACACCCACGCTCTGGCCAAGGACAGGCCAGCTGGGCATGCACCAGGCGTGCCACGAGACCATGTGAGCGAAGAATTACCCGAGCCACCAGCATCCGTCTCTGTCTTCCTAACCCATAGCAAGAAGGTCGCATATGGGACGACCCAATCACGTCCGCGCACGGCCGCAGGAGATGAAAGCTCCACCTGTCTGCACGCGACCCAGACCCTGGCTTGCATGGTTCGCCGCTACAACCACGCTTACCCAAAAGCCATGCTAGACCCCGCAAAATTTTATGCTTAAAGACCGCCTCATGTCCTACCACCCAATGTCACGGTAGCAGTTTCCCCGGATTTCTCTTTACTTTTGTCCTGGTTCGAGAGTGTGTGGAGCAGCGTTGCAGCACCCCACTATCGTTCCCAAAGCAGCCCAGCCCTGGTCGGATCGCCCGTCGGCCCGACTTTCCTTTGATTTGGAAAGAGAGAGTTGACGAAAGAGAACAGTCATGGCGGAAGAGAAGGATATTCAGCCTACTACCGCGCCCCCGTTCGAGCATTATGGAGAGAATGAGGAGTCCGATCACAAGCGCGCTGCTAACAAGCTTGTTGACGATGCGCGGCTTGCCACGGACAACGAACGCAAGATGACGCTGATGCAAGGTATCAAACTCTATCCCAAGGCGATTGGATGGTCTGTCCTCATCAGCACCTGTATCGTCATGGAAGGCTACGATGTCTGCCTGCTGAACAACTTCTTTGGATTCCCGCAGTTCAAGCAAAAGTACGGCGAGCAGCTTCCGGACGGGTCTTGGGAAATTCCTGCGCCATGGCAAGCTGGACTGTCGAACGGAGTCATTGTGGGCGAGATCATTGGTCTTTTCCTCAATGGGTGGATCAGTGAGGCTATCGGATACCGCTACACTGTCATGGGTTGCTTGCTTCTGATCATTGGGTTCACCACCATCTTCTTCACGGCTCAGACGGTGGTGCACTTGCTGATTGCGGAGATTCTCTGTGGTATCCCCTGGGGTGTCTTCCAGACACTTACTATCACATACGCTTGCGAGGTCTGCCCTGTTGCTCTGCGCGGATACTGTAAGTTTATCAAGCTCTACTTTCACATACACAAGCTCACATCAGTTAGTAACCACCTACGTCAACTTCTGCTGGGGTCTTGGTCAAGTCATCGGTATCGGTGTCATCCGCTCCATGGTCGACCGTGATGACGAATGGTCATACCGCATCCCCTACGCCCTCCAATGGATGTGGCCCGTCCCTCTCATCATCGGTGTCTTCCTAGCGCCCGAGTCGCCATGGTGGCTAGTCCGTAAAGGAAGAATCGAAGACGCGAAGAAATCCCTGCTTCGACTCACCAGCTTGGACCGAGAAACTGATTTCGATGCCGACGAAACGGTGGCCATGATGGTGCACACCACCGCCCTCGAAGAGAAGATCACCCAGGGAGCCAGCTACTGGGACTGCTTCAAGGGTACTGATTTGCGTCGTACGGAGATTGTCTGCATGGCCTGGGCGATGCAGAACTTGAGTGGAAACGCTTTCTCGGGTTACTCTTCCTACTTCCTCCAACAGGCCGGTCTACCCGCATCGACTTCGTATGACTTCGCAATGGGTCAGTACGGTATTAACATGGCCGGTGTCTTTGGCGCTTGGTACCTCATGAAGGTCGGTTTCGGACGCCGAACACTCTACCTAGGTGGTCTTTGTGGACTATGCGTTATGCTCTTCGTCATGGGTTTCCTTGGCCTGGTACCAGCCTCCCAGCGGGAGAAGGGCGCCATGGCTACCGGAGCTATGATGATCGTATGGGCTATGTTCTACCAGTTGACCGTCGGCACCGTATGCTACTCTCTCGTTGCTGAGCTTTCAACCCGCCGCCTCGCTATCAAGACCGTGGTCCTCGGCCGCAACCTCTACAACGTAATCGGCATCATCACCTCCGTCCTCACACCCTACATGCTCAACCCCGGAGCCTGGAACTGGTACGTCCCTCCCTCTCTACCTTCCTCCCCTTCTTCCCTCTACTAACCACACCCCAGGGGCAACTACGCCGGATTCTTCTGGGCCGGCTCCTGCTTCCTAAGTATCATCTACACCTACTTCCGCCTGCCCGAACCCAAGGGCCGCTCTTTCGCTGAACTTGATCTCCTCTTCGAGAAGCGCGTCAGCGCGCGCAAGTTTGCAAGCACGACTGTCGATGTGTTTGAGGACAGCCATATCCAAGGGACTGCTGCTTTTGATCGCTATGAAGAGAAAGTTGATGCTGCTGTGAGAACCGAATCTGTTGCTGTTGGTGTTTCGAAGGTTTAATGACAAGAAGATTTAGGGTGTACATGTGTTGAGTGGGAAGATGTTGCATGTATGAGCGTATGATGTGCATGTTTTGCTGTATGATGGTTTGATGGGGATTTGGTATCATTTTAATCGAACTTCTTATCATGAAAGACTCCACGATTGCATCTATGTGGTAGAGCAATAGAATGCAATGCAATGCAGGCGCGAGCGTTTATGCACGTTCTTCGAGGTACAGTAGCTGATTGGACCTTCCATGTAAGGGTGCTGCGAGGGCGGGGCATTGTGCCGCGGACATACATACCCTCTCTTTTCTGTAATCCTCTGGTTTCTTTCAACACGTCCGTCTCACGTTTCTCAACTATGTTGCAACTCGACCCTGACTTCATCCGTATGGACGCCGAAGCTGAAAGAGCCAAGGGTTTTGTGAGATGCAAGTTCAACGAACAGATCGACTCGATACCAATGTACAGTCCCTCACATTCACTGGAATCAATATCTCTGCTAATCGACAGCCACATATAGATACGATGCCTCCCCTTCAGAACGCCAAAGAGCAGTAGAAGCCGCAACTGCTGCGCGAAAATCATGTCGCGAACTAGCTAGCGAGTTCCACGCCGTCCTACCAAGAGAGCTTCGAAACATGATATACGCCTACATCGTCGGCCCGACAGCTCAGCCTCAAACTACACCGGAATATAGCGGAATGTGGTGGCGTGTCGAGTGCGGCAAGAGCATACGCATTGGCTGGTTAGACTCGCAATGGGGCGAGGGTATTGAAGCACTCGACATCTGCGGTGAAAGTCTACACATGCAACCCAAATGCTGGGCTATGGATCCAGCATACTTTGGAGCGCACGCAGCCCAAGAGCTTACAGAAACTTACTACAGTATCAACAGTTTCTACATCACGTCTGCCCAGGAGATGAGCAACCTGTTCCGCGCCGATCCCTTCAAGCTCAGAATAAAGCCGCATCAGTTTATCCGCAAGTTCACGCTGGTACTCAACTTCTCCGGAACTGAAATGCAAAGCGAGGACGAAGTGGCGACTCTTCACAAAAACCTCCAAGACCTCCAGCTGCTACCTACGAAACGCAAACACGAGATTTGCATCCGCCTCGAGACCGCTTTCCAGATTGGAACTATCAAACTTGGTGGGTATCGATACCGTCACCCCTACGACATGGAAGATGAGCGAATTATGCTCAATATCCTCGAGTCGATCAGACGGCCCGTGTATGATCTCATACATAGGGGGGAGTCGGTCAGGGTGTTCCAGGCAAATTTAGACGACTGGTGTACACCACGCCAAAAGAGAATTGAAGATGTAGGAATCAGGTACTTGACATCTGCTGAAAGAGTGAAAGGCCAGTGGGGGCCGCCTTGTCGATTCTTCAGCATGACGGAAGGGGAGTGGCAAAAGGTATGCGGTTTGCTAATTATCACGCGAGTGTCTGCATGGGTGGGGCTAATGAGAGTTAGGAGAGAGAAGAGGATACGGATGGAGACCCAGCCCGGCATTACGTTCTCCGTCCGCCTAATGTTGCAAGCGACAAGGATGAGCAAGACACAAACGAAAACAGCGAGGAAGACGAGGAGGCAACAGATGAAGAAAGCGACGAAGAAGAAGAAGAAGAAGGACCAGAAAACGAGAGCGACGACGAGGAATACTTGTTCAATCGAGACCAGACTCTAGACATGGAAACCAAGCTCAAGGTGCGCGAAGCGCTGAAAACCCGATGGCAGGAATCAGGCGCTCTTGATCACTTTTGGCACAGCGGCGACTGTAAAGGCCCTTTCGGACTCCAGAAACAGAAATCACGATACAAATCGAGGGAAAGTAATGGTGGAGACTTCATGTAGCCATGCCACAGGACAGGATATTAGTTGAGCGGGCTACAAAGCTCTAATCAGCATCGAAACACACATTCACAACACTTCATCAATCAACCAAAGAACGAATTAGATTAAGTAACTAACCATGTGCACAAAACGCAGCAGTCGCTCAGACCCAATCCTCCCTACTACACAGCCAGCACCAAGACTGGCCCAAAAGCCTCCGTCTCAAGTGAAAGCTTTAGTACAAGAAGAGTAAGCGTGAACAAAGGAAAGGGCGTGCGTCGCAGCGACAGGGGATAAAACGGAGAGGGAGAGAAGTCCAACGCTCAAGGGTATGAAAAGTTTGTTGTGACAAAGCCATGCTAAACATATGTACTCATACAAAAGAGCGATCCGGGGTACGCGAGTGTGTGTGGCGGTATGGAGTGGGAATGATCGGGGGGGGGTTAGTTTCCACCGGAAGCCAGGTGATCGGCGGCCTATTGGAAATTGTTAGTTGGAGTCTTCTTCTACATAGAGTGTGGTTGCATTGCTTACCTTGTTGATGTCGTAGTCGTACTTCTCGAGCGCAGACAAGGCGTCGTTACGTCCATAGCCCATACCGGTCAGCTTCTTGAGGATAGGGTCGTCATGCTCGGTTCCAGTGCTGATGGCACGACCAAGCGAGGGCATCTGAGGCGACAATCCCTGAGACTTGGATGAAGAAGCAGCAGCCTCCTCATTGTCGAGAGTGTCAAAGACAGACTTGCCAAAGTCAGTGGACGCTTGCTGCGAGTGTGAGCCCTTGTCGGTCTGCGACGACTCGAGGTTGGAGAAGATGGCATCCCAGTCCTGGGACGAGGCAGCGGGTTGAGGCTGCTGGGGCTGTCCTCCAAAGGTCTGCGACAGGTGTTCAAAGTCACTGAAGCTGTCATCACCACGCGGCTTGCCGGTGGGAGTCTGCTGAGAAGCCATAGTGTTTGACTTGGAGGCAGCTGGCGAGTCAAACACTGGGTTGAACTCGTCAAGACCTTCACGGTTCTGCGAAGAGAACATGAAGTCGTCATCAGCGCGGTCATCCTCCTTGGCATCCGCTAGATCATCAAATCCGGCGTCGAAGTCATCGTTGAAGGCAGACTTGCCGAGTTGGGGGACGTTGTTGGAAGGCGATGGGCCCTTGTTGTTCTCATTGGCACCGTACGATACTGCAGAGTGGTATTGGTCGGATGGAACGGTCGATGATGGAGTATCTAGAGGAGGGGGCGATGTGGTCGCAGACTTGGAAGGGCCGCCAAAGAGAGCAGCTCCGTGACCGCCAGGAGGATTGTACGACTTCTCGGGACCTTGCGCGGTGTCAGGAGATCCTGGCGATGTTGGGTCTTCGCGAGCGGGAAGAAGACCACCGAACTCAGGTGGGAATTGGTTCGATCCACTTCTGGTCTGGTTCACACTGGACTCGTAGGTGGGTGGGGACTTCTGCGCACTAGGAGAGGGCAAGCCACCGATGTTGGAGTCCAGGCGGGTAGTTGGCGGCGGAGCTCTGTACAACTCGTCACTTGACGCAGTACCTGGTCGCTGCTGTTGCTGAGAGCGCTGCTCTTGTCCTGTGCTAGTACGCTTCTGGTTTGGCGACGCGGATGTGAAGTTGTCATCGAATCCGCGCTCATCGTTACTGTCGCTGTCATCATCGTGAGCGAGGTCCTCGATCGGAGGGAACTCCTTGTTGAACCTGTTGGAGTTATCCGCGGGTGCGCTTGTGGTGGATGCAGTAGCAGTGTTCTGACGACTAGGGCCGAAGCCAGCGAATGCCGCATCGAAATCATCCTTGCCTCCACGAGGTTGTTCACCAGAAGTGCTGCCGAAGGGGTCGGCGCGGTTGATGTTCCTGTTGGGGGCGCTCAGACTGCTCTCTCCAGTTTGGTTCTGCTGAAGAGGGGTAGCAGCCTCACGTGGGAAGGCACCAGGAATGTCAACACCAGCTGAAGGTGCTCCGAAGTTGGAGAAGGCATCCTTACGGTCCTCAGCTCTGGTTGAGCGCTGAGTATCACTGGTGATACTGGCTACAGGAGATGCTGATGAGAAGTTACGGTTGAACAGAGAAGGGTTGAAGTTGTCGGTTTCTGTGCGGTTGGTTTCAGTTCGCTCTACCGTGGGCTTCTCTGCTATTGGTGTGCTCGCAGGAGATGCCTGGGAAATTGTAGGTGTCTCGTTGCCAGGGCCACCGTATCTGCTGGCAGGAGCAGTAGCTCGCACGGAAGAGCTGAACGAGTCGGATCTCTGGCCGCCTTCCCTCAGAGGTAGGAATGAAGAGCCAAATTGACGCGACTCAGGGGGGGCTGGCGGGTCTGCAGCGCGGGGAGATTCCTGGTAAGAAGACAGAGGGGGTGAGGTAGACGGTGTGGGGACGTCAGGTCCTTCGGAAGAGCGTACTGATTGGCCGGATGGAACAGAGAAGCTGGGACCTTGGCTCTGGTTTTCGGGACGGAAAGAGACGGGAGGTGCTGTGCTTTGAGGAGTGCCGAAGCTACCAAAAACGCTGTCAAAGTCCTTGTGCGGGCCTTCACGTGCGAATCCAGATGGCGACATGGTGTTCTCCGCAACGGGTTGGGGCGACTTGCGGAAGAATGGGTTCGTGCTCTGGCTTGTAGTGGACGCTGCGGGGCTGACGGCGACGGCGGGAGTCTGGGCCTGCGGACTGCGTGTGCCCTCTTCCTGCGACTTGGTCAAGTCGTTCATTTCGTTCCTGATCTTGTCGCGTTCTCCCTCATTGGTAGCAAGCTGCTTCTTGTTGATAGCAACCATGCCCTTCTGCTGTCGGGCATCGTTCCTCATCTTGTCAAGCTGAGGACGCAGCTGTCCGATCTCGGTATTGAGTTGGCGGATGCGTTCTTTCAAGCTGTTGTTCTCACGTTGGTCAGCCTCAAGTTGGCCTCCCACCTGGCGGTGCTGATTCTGGAGATCCTGGTAAGAGCCCTCGATCATAGCAAGGTCCTGCTGCAGCTTGCGGGTCTCGTTGCGAGAGGCAGCCAGTCGGTCCTCTAGCGCCTTGACAGCCTTGACTTCCTGGTCGTACTGGGTCTTGAACTGCGAGAGGCGCAGCTCGAGATCGCGCTTCTGGGTGTTGACACTGTTGAGATCGCCCTCTGTCGCAGTCTTCTTGTTCTGAACTTCCTGCATCTGGTTTCGGAGAGTGGTCATCTGGTTAGACATGTTGGCCAGGTCAGTCGAGTCTTGCGTCAGCTTCTTGTTGATCTCGGCAACATCCTCTCCACCCAGCAAATCGTCCATTGCGGATGGTGTGGAGTGTTGTGGTACGCCAGAGGTACCCGATTGGCCTGTAGAATGCGCAGTAAGAGTCTGACCGAATGAAGAACTAGGCATGAACGGCTTGAAGGTGGAAGCAGGGTTCCGCGGTTGAGGCTGGAATGGGTGAGGAGACGTGGGCGAAGTTGGCTTGCTTCCGAAAGGATCCGCCTCGAATGGCTTGCTGAAGGTAGCCGAGCCGCCTGTCGATTGCGGTTGCTGAGGAGCAGGAGCCGGTGCTGTGAAGGCGTCGAGTCCGAAGAGATCATCTGCAGCTGATTTGGCGGCGCGAGGAACGGGTGGCGCTGGCTGAGGGGCGGTTACTGGCACTGCTTGGTTGGCAGCTGTTCGTAGGCTCGGGGGAATCAGGCTGGGTGGTAGTGTTGCTGGAAGCTGGTCTCCCTTCCGTTGTTGACGGATCAGGTACATTGCGACTGCGAACTCGTCCTTGGACAGCTGACCTTCCGAATTGATGTCTGCGAGGTCCCATATTCCTGCGAGGACATCTTCGGGCAGGCCGGAATCGCTGAAAAAGCGCACTGCCTGGTCGCCAGTGATAAAACCGCGACCCATGGTGTCAACCGTCTTGAAGAGGTTGTCGTAAGACGCCTTCTCTTGTGGGCTGATAAGCCAATCGCTGCCGGTCGGTTGGGGTGCTGGAGCCGGTGCTCCAAATGGCGTTCGTCCAAGTGGACTTGATTGCCGTGGCTGGTTTTGCTGCCCGCTGAACTGGCGCGGGATGGACATGGATTGGTCTGGTCGGCCTGGTGGAGGTGGGAGTTGTCCTCGTCGCGAGGCGGCTTCGTACAGGCCTGGGGGTAGGGCGGTCGGGAGGGCCTTCATGTTGCCAGTTCGGTAGGAGGCGAGCATGTGCATGGCAATGATGAATTCGGTGACGTTCAGAGCGCCGCGCTGCTCCGTGTCGGAAAGATTCCAGATGCGACCGAGGACTTCATTGGGTAACCGCGCTTTCTCGAAGATCTCCTTTGCATTCTCGCCTGGAAATGTTAGAGTCGCACTAGTCGAGTATCAAGACACATACCAGAGAGTACGCCATTGACAGCCCCAGACTTCTCGAAGAGGCCTGCGTATTCAGCAGCCTTGGCGGGTACTAGCGGAGGCACGCGGATGGGGCCGTTACCGCTCATCTGAGGTTGTATCGAACCGGTGGGTTGTGGAGAGAAGCTCGGGGCGGCGGGAGGAGCGGATGGGATGTTCAAGCCCTCGAACTTGGGCAGGGGCGCAGCTGCGGGAGTGTCAGCGCATGGCTATACTACGGGCCATTGAGGTCTTACGTCTAAAGGCCAGCTCGGGGGCGGGGTCTCTGCCGGCCTGGTAGTGTCCGATGAGGCGCAGGACCTGGCAGAAGCCGGCCATGGTCAGGAGACCGCGGTTCTCCGTGTCTGCAATCTGCCATATCTCGCCCAGGACAGCGGGTGCCAACTTGGTACGCTCGAAGAACTTGACGGCAATCTCGCCTGTTATGACGCCCAGCTTCTCCGTGTCGGCCTGCTGGAAGAGGAACTGGAAGACGCGCTTCTCCTCGGGCGTCAGGTTGAGGACGGGCTGGTCTGCGCCGCGTTAGCTGGGACGTGGGCAAGTGTATGTGTCAGCACGCACTCAATTCGCCGCTCTGTGCGAGGTCCGCCATGGCTGTGGGGGCTCCGTGGACGGCGCTCGTGGTTGTTAGGCTTCTGCCTGGGTGGATGAGGCTGAAGCTCCCGGCGCTGTCGTGTAATGGA